TACCTGAGACAGAAAGACTTTCTGTAGAATATCCCTGGGACAGTAGGACTTTCTACACAATATCCCTGAGACAGAGGGACTTTCTATAGAATATCCCTGGGGCAGAGGGACTTTCTATAGAATAACTCTGAGACATAAAGACATTCTATAGAAAATCCCTGAGACGGAGGGACTTTCTATAGACACAGAGACTTTGTACAGGATACCCCTGAGACCCCTGAGACCCCTGAGACACAGAGACTTTGTACAGGATACCCCTGAGACAGAGGGACTTTCTGCAAAATATCCCTGAGATAGAGGGACTTTCTATAGAATAGCCCAGAGACAGAGGCTTTCCATAGAATATCCCTGAGACAGAGCAACTTTCTACAGGCTATCCATGAGACAGAAAGACTTTCTACAGAATATCCCTGCGACAGAGGGACTTTCTGTAGAATATCCCTGAGACAGAGCGACTTTCTACAGGCTATCCATGAGACAGAAAGACTTTCTGCAGAATATCCATGAGACAGAGGGACTTTTCACAGAATATCCCTGAGACAGAGAGACTTTCTATAGAATATTCCTGAGACAGAGAGACTTTCTATATAGAATATCCATGCGGCAGAGGGGTTTTCTGTAGAATATTCCTGAGACAGAGGGACTTTGTACAGAATATCCCTGAGACAGAGAGACGTTCTATAGAATATCCCCGGAACAGGGGGACTTTCTGGAGAATATCCACGAGACAGACGTAGGTTATAGAATACCCCTGTGACAAAAGGATGTTATGGGGGGAGTCTCTGCTGAGAGGTTTTACTGCCAAATGAAGGCCCCGTAAAACAATAGAGGACGCCATTAGAGGTTTATAAGGACGTATGAACATAACACTCGGTGCACATCATCTTTTTCCACGAAGCGTGGTCTAAATTGCTTTCGGTTTATTGAAACATAAACGAATAAAACGTGCTCACTGCCATGCCCATGAACATGCGTAACTCCAATTGATCAATTATTCCCCTCCTACTTGTCACCTGAGGCCCTGATGTCACCGAATAATTATGAAAGCAGCATTAAACACCCTCCGCACACACATCTCTTAAAAATAAAAAAAATAATGAGTCCATATATTCGTTGCTTTAAAGTGCTGTAAAAAACTAATAAACAAAATATTAATAGGTCAGTGGAGACATATTCATGTTTCAAATCAAATGTTCCCTTCGCAAACAGCAGCATACATGTGTGCATGGAGCAGCCTCTGACTCATGTAAGACAACCAACAACACAGCCTGCTCACGCCGCCTACTGTGTGCTATATATATAGTCCATGCTAGCTGTGGCAATAGCCAGGCCACCTACACTTGCTACTTCCCCTTTCATAGCCTGATTGATTCTGCTCTTCTCTTACTTCAATTACACATTTGGATTGATTGCTTCATGTCAGTGTTTGAACCTTTGTCTATGGTGCTGTACTATCATTATAAACGAACTGCGGATGCAGATGAACCTAGGATGCATCTGTGACATCTATAGCTATAAGCCTTGTTGGTGTCCTGGACAGTCAAGCCTCATGCAGCATGTATTGACTTGGAATCGTGTTATCATTCAGCATTTACAACTAATTTCCGAATTCAGTTATGTGTTTTTTATTTCTAAGAAATACATACAATTATTACTGGAAGCAAAACGTGAATTTTTCCATCCTTCCATTAACATACTGTGAAACACTTTACTAGCATATGAGTAGTACGGAGTTACAGAATGTGTAGTATCTACGGTTTCACAAATCAGGTGAAGTAAGCTTTTGGTCTCATAATCAATGAACTGATTGACTATCTGACAATAACCCATATCTCCTTGGTTTCACCAAGCTGAGCATTCCCCCATTGTCCAATGCCAGTATCAACAACATCGATGACCGCAGGCTACGTCGCACCAGGTAGAGACGCATTAATGATTCATTTTTTAGCGTCTTGATCTTAAACTTCTTATCACAACTCAAGCAACAACAGACACATCTCCTCTGTGATAGTTACCCAGTTGGACCTAAGAATATTGCCTGAGGCTTTCTAATCTGGGCAGATAGTTCGCATCAGGTTTTTTTTGCACATGCATTCAATGCTTCATCGACTTGTTTTATTCTCTGGTTCTCGTCTGTGTGAAATTGTCTATTATAAAGTGTGTCTGCCCGGAGAGCGGAAGGTCGGTGGTTTGATCCCCGGCTGCGTCATAACAGAAGACGTTAAAAGATGGGACTTGTTGGACGTGATATAAGATGTACTGGGAATATTACATGCTGCAGTAAGTTGTCAACCGATCTCGAGGGCTAACTGGTGTGATATACTATGTGTGTAAGCCTGTACATAGGCTCACACAGGGTACATTGTTTCAGTCTTCACTACTCTTGTTGTTTCAGCGTTCACTACAATTGTTTCGTTGTTTCAGTGTTCACTGCTATTCTTTCGTTGTTTCAGTGTTTACTGCTATTGTTTCCTTGCCTCAGTATTCACTGCTATTGTTTCCTTGTTTCAGTATTCCCTACCATTGTTTCGTTGTTTCAGTCTTCACTACTATTGTTTCCTTGTTTCAGTGTTCACTGCTATTGTTTCCTTGCCTCAGTATTCACTGCTATTGTTACCTTGTTTCAGTATTCCCTACCATTGTTTCGTTGTTTCAGTCTTCACTACTATTGTTTCGTTGTTTCAGTGTTCATTGCTATTGTTGCGTTGTTTCAGTGTTCATTGCTATCGTTGCGTTGTTTTAGTGTTCACTACTATTGGTTGTTGTTTCAGTCTTCACTACTATTGTTTCGTTGTTTCAATGTTCACAACTATTGTTTCGTTGTTTCAGTGTTCACTACTATTGTTTCGTTGTTTCAGTGTTCACTGCTATTGTTTCGTCATTTTAGTGTTCACTGCTATTCTTTCGTTATTTCAGTGTTCACTGCTATTGTTTCGTTGTTGCAGTGTTCACTGCTATTGTTTCGTTGTTTCAGTGTTCACTGCTATTGTTTCCTTGTTTCAGTGTTCACTGCTATTGTTTTGTTGTTTCAGTGTTCACTGCTATTCTTTCGTTGATTCAGTGTTCACTGCTATTGTTTCGTTGTTTCAGTGTTCATTTCTATTGTTGCGTTGTTTCAGTGTTCACTACCATTGTTTCGTTGTTTTAGAGCTCACTGCCATTGTTGCGTTGTTTCAGTATTCACAGCTATTGTTGCGTTGTTTCAGTGTAACTTGAGTATCACATAATGAAGAGGAAGATCGGTTGTTTCTTCCATGATGCTCATTCTTCGCTAATCACTCAAATGTACGCCATTTTGAATGTTATTTTCAAATTCACCTTTACCTTACCTTCTTGTTACCGGAATAAGGTTATAGAGAAAGATATCACAAACATCCTCCTGTATTATATAGAGAATTATAGAGCACATAGCCAATGACTTTCATTTTTTTGTAAGAGTGAGTATGGTGTTTTGCCACTTTATGAGCAAAATTCCAACAATATCATGATGGGTGACACCAAGCAATGGGCTTCACACATTGTACTGATGTGATGAATCGAACGCTTCAACCACTAGGCTTGAAATAAACTGGGAATATGAAGATGAAATGTAAGGATACCATCATACCAGGACTGAATGCTTTTCATTTAATACGCTGAACATCTAAAATGAAATATATATGAACTTGAAAAAGATATCACAAACATCCTCCTGTCTCCTCAAACATTAAAACTGTATGATATTGTCAACGAAAAAAACTGCTTGACCAGCAACACTTTTTTGCAGTGCCGGCCATTTTCAATATTCAAAACTGAAAACTCTATCTTAATATAGCTAGAGGCATCAAGAATGTTCCGCAAAGGTGATGCTGAAATGTTCAGAAGTTTTGTTAAAGAAGCATTTACTATGCTAACTGAATGGACGGACAGATAAATGGACAGGGTGAGGTACAGAAATGATCATAGGCTCTAAATAGAAGCAAGGATGTTATTCATACATGTAAGACAGTGTGTGAGTTACAAGTAAGTTTTTGTCCGCCATGTGTTCACACCGTGTTTTCGCTGATGCAACAACTCGGCTATTATTCACGATCAAAAGAGCTAATCGCGTTACTCTTATTATTGACTGTGTGAATGTCCGCTCGAAAGAAGTCCCGGAATAACATTGTTCATTATAAATATGTCATCAAACACGAACAATGACTCAACACCCTGAAGCTTAACGATGAAAGTGGTATTTATTGGCGCCAATAGGATGAAAGTGAAAATGCTCCAGTGTATTCCTTCAAGCCACCTGGGTATCGATAAGTGCAGGAGCAGAGCAAGATCTGTACTATTCTGGCCTGGAATGAATTCCGACATTAACGCTGAAGTCGGTAAATGTCGCATATGTCAGGAAAGACGTGTTTCCAACCAGAAAGAACCACTTGTTCCACGACCGATTCCATCATATCCATAGCAAATTGTGGCGACTGATTTGTTCCAGTTTCAAGGTAAAGGCTACTTAGTGGTTGTCAACTACTACAGTAAATGGTTAGAAGTGGAGAAGCTTGCCAGTACAAAGAGCGTGACAGTGATCGACAGGCTCAAATCCATATTAACAAGACATGGAGTGCCTCAGGAAGTGATATCAGATAATGGCTCTCAATACACGGCAGAGGAATTTTGTCAACTTCACAAAGTGTTGGGGATTCAAACATTCAACGTCTAGTCCTCACTACCCGCAGAGAAATGGTTTGGCTGAGAAATGTGTGCAGATAGCCAAACGTCTGTTCGACGAAGTACCAGCTGAAAACAGAGATCCAAGACTCAGCTTGTTGGAGTACAACACTCCCATCGGACATGCTCGCCTTCCCACATGTTAATGGGACGTCATCTTCGTTCAACACTTCTTGTGACGTATGAACAAATGAAACCTAAAACTGTTGATCCTGAAATCGTACAGAAACAGATTGCTCAATCAAAACTTCAACAGAAACAGAACTATGACAAGTCCGCGAAACAAATCTCAAAACTCAATATCAACGAGCCAGTGCGAGTTCGACTTCCAACAGAAACCCTGTGGAAACCAGCCACAGTGATCAGCAAAAGCCAACATGACCAGGATAGGTCATGCATCGTTCAGACCAACGATGGTGCTCAATATCGTCGTAATCGTCGACACTTGTTATCAACCAGTGACAAACTCACACCTGCTGTCAATCAAACTGAGCTGTGATCAGAATGTAACCAGCACACCAATCAAGACAGCAAGTCCGAGTGTGATTTCAAGTCCATCACAGAACTAAACATACATCACCAGGAGTGGTCGATCTGTGAAACCTGAGGTCATGCTAGACCTATAAACATTTGACATTTATTCAGTTAAATTGTTTTGGTTAACGTGGCTGAGTTCATGTGAGTGAATGGTTAAATTTCCATTGATTTTATTGTCAATCCAGAAAGTGTGGATTTCAAGCAAATGTGCTTACTGTTTTATTTCACTGCAGTGTGTATTTATGTTGACGAACATTTAATGGAGCTTTTCTATGTGTAGAACTGTAACGTCTAACGTTCATTTTTTGAGAAGGGATATGTCGAATTTGTGGCAAATCTGCCAGATTGTATGAGTACTTCACTATATTGAGATCTGTATGCCACGTAGAGTTATCTCCTTGTACAAAATGCCGCGTGTTCCAATGAGGAGGATTAAACTAGAATGATCCCAGTCAGTGAATCTATTTTCTATAGATACAAGAGTAGCCTGTGATTCAAGTTAACCCACATAACATTATACTTAATATAGTCGGAATCGTACAATCGACTCTTTCTATTGAATATGGAAAGGGTTTTGTGACTTTTAATTACACTCTGCCTACATGCACATGTATACCAACGTGAAAGATATTTTTATGCAATTGTCTTCCTCCCCAATATCATTGAATTTTGTACTGCCATTCAATTGTCCACTGTCATTGTAATTGCTGTGCAGAAAATTGTAAACCTAGAAAAGTTTGTAATGCATATGTTATTTGTATACCATTTTTCTTGGTATTTTCTGTTGTTAAATGCTCGCGATACCAATAGTTGGAGCATTGTATCACTGTTGCTTTGAACTCATTGAAGGTCTTCCGTATATACAAGATTTAGCATCGTGAGATTTCCACCTCTTCCCAAACTTGAAGAAAGAACTGTCTGGCAAGCAAGGTGCACATCATGATGACACCAGTGGCTTCCAGACACTCCAGCATCGCTAGCAGAAATGTGTGGATCATGTTGAAAAATAATTAGCCACAAACTACATCAACAGTCCACCACAGTTAGGCTCAGAACCCTTAAGCCAACCCTCGTATTTCAGTTACAACAGGGCGTGTCGGCTTTTAAGGAGAGGAGTTATAATTGGATATGGGACAATAAGCGAATCCTTGACCAACTAACGAACACAACTTTGATCCAGTGGATCATGACCGCACACAGAAGTTTTGCGGCATACCTATCTATAGAGAATCTCGTCCGAGTGTCTTCTGATATCAAATATATTAACACGAGTTGATAAAAGTGGATAAAAACTTGCCGAGGTGTTTTTCCACTTTTATCATAGAGTGTTGATATATTTGATATCAAAAGACACGAGTGTGAGATTTTATTTATCACCCAACATCATTCTTCCAGCTTTTTCAGTTTGTAGGGGGTAATAAGCAGTGTCTTTAGTGTAAAAAGTACTGCTAACAGCAGTAGGGCCATTAATGATGTCATTTGATTGTGACGTCATGGTAACAATGTAGTTTAAAATGTCACCAAAAACAACCACTTGACGAAATTTTATGTCAGCTTTGATATTCAAATATAATTTAGTAAATATATCTTGATATATAACCTTTGAGAAATAACAAAATCACACTATGATCATTATGATTTAAACAAAATATGATAAAATATACATGCTTTAGAATGTGTGACAATGTATGAGCATGTGTTGAGTGTCAGTAGCAACTAAACATATCATATATTTAAATGGGAGCCGCACCTCTTAAATAAATTGCCGTGTCGTCATGGTGAAAACAAGCATGTGAGGTTTCATGCGGACAGAATGGCAAGTCTCAAGCTCACTTCACCTTCCGTCAAGTTAACTTAAAATATATCTTGCTGTCAATTAACTTATTCAGCCAACCTAACACAATGTAACAGAAACAAAAATCATAAGTCAGTTGCCTCTTCTTCAGGAACGTCTGTAAGTGACGTTTTTACAATGTTTAGCTATCACTCTACGAATGAACTACCACAAAGTGAAAGTCAGTTCATATACTTTTTTATATCACTATTTTATACTTAGAAAAATCGAGATCTATACACAATTATATTTAGTACGTGTGACGTCGGGTTTATACTGACAACCATACACCAACCAACTATATCGCGAAATGAAGTAATTCCCCAAAAGGAGAGGAGTGACATGAGCGTATGTATGCTCACGATGACATCTTTTGTAGTTTGATCACAGCAAATATATTCAAATAAGAGCATTATTAGATGAGAAAGCTCAGTTAAGAACTGACCTTAGTAAGTTTGTCACCTTGAGAGCGACTCGTAACACATTTACAGAAGTTGTTAATGAACCTGTGGCGATTATAAGCGTTAATCATCATTACTCAAATGGCCTATCATATAAAGTGATCGTAAAGATTTGTAAATGTATACTTAGTTAAAATCATAGATTGATGTAGGCTGTCAGTATGAGTCTAGGATCGGATCGAGTCGATACTATGATAGTTTGAATGACATTGTTCGTTTCTTCGTTTCATTCACTAGGATATAACTTATCGGGCATGCAATCAAACTCACTGACCTATCCCAATGTATGCTTAAACGCTAAGTTCAAGATTAAAGGTTCTAAATGATCAGAAACAAGAATTTTGTATTTATTCGTACTGGAGAATTTCCAGGGGTTTCTCCAAGAATGTGAAAGTGGTCCGTCAGTGTTTACGTCATTTCAAGAATACAGTCTCGTGAAAAACGTCCAAATCTGTCGTTCATACAGTTACGAACTTTAGTTTCGCAGTCATGTGACCGACCTCTCGTCCAATGGAAAAGCCGTATATCGTTAAAACGTTACATTAAAACATACCATTTATTGCATACTTAATTGTAGTTTGCAGTAGATTCGTTTAATGTTGTTTTAAATCATTCGCAGGCAAGATAGGACATCGCGTAGATCACATGACAGAGCATCGCCTCTTCGTTTTCTTTCTCTTTCTAGTGAAACGCAAATTTTGTAAATTATGGTCAGAATTGCTCACTATTGACACACTCCGGTCATGTACATAATTCTCCTGATCTAAAAAAGAAGGACGATTTCTCATATCATAATTATCCTGACTGGGGTCCCCTCTCACAATGAGGAGGTGCAGCATCCGTTCTATATGGTCGCCCAATCTTGCACTGGTTTCAATAAAGAAGCATGTCTTCCAGGAGAGAAGGAACTGATACCCTTCCTCGTACGTCACCGATCTTTCAGAACTCATGTCTGTTTTATTTCCAACCAGTATAATTGGAGCTCTTTCATTGTCTGAAAATGAAACGGAACCACAATGATTCATGCCCTTTGGTTTCCTGAACTGAAAAGTTAGAAATAGTCCGCTACGCTGTAAGTCACTTGGATCTGCAGTTTAAAATGACACTTAAAACAACCACTTTTATCAACGAGTGTTGATATATTTGGTATCAAAAGACACGAGGGTGAGATTTTATTTATCATCCAACATCATTCTTCCAGGTTTTACAGTTTGTAGGGGGTAATAAGCAGTGTCTTTAGTGTAAATAGTACGCTAACAATTTCAGTAGCAGGGCCATTATTGATGTCATTTGATTGTGACGTCATGGTAACAATGTAGTTTAAAATGTCACCAAAAACAGCCACTTGACGAAATTTTATGTCAGCTTTGATATTCAAATATATTCTCGTAAATATATCTTGATATATAACCTTTGAGAAATAACAAAATCACACTATGATCATTATGATTTAAACAAAATATGATGAAATATACATGCCTAAGAATGTGTGACAATGTATGAGCATGTGTTGAGTCTCAGTAGCAACTAAACATATCATATATTGAAATGGGAGTCGCACCTCTTAAATAAATTGCGGTGTCTCAAGTCTCAAAATATATCTTGCTGTTAATGAACTTATCCAGCCAACGTGACACAATGTAACAGAAATAGCAATCATAAGGAAGTCAGTTGCCACTTCTTCTATTTACGGGAACGTCTGTAAGTGACGTTTATAAGCTTTGTGAAATCCACGAGTACGAATTTGATGCTGGCAAATCCAGAATCATAATTGAATAATAAAATTCCAAACCACGATAAGCGGATCCTGGTACAACTGGGGACGCAACTCTGCTTAACATCTAACGGATATGTCCCTGGTGAGGATGGTGAATCGCATGACCATAAGATGCCCCACAAGTATATACAACAATTGCATATACATTTACTCCTGACCTAAAGGCGAACTGCTGCCTTTACACTTTGGTGCAGTGTCTGACCAGGTGATATGTGCTCTGTCTTGTATTAAACTGACAATCTACCTAAGCGCATTGATAAGTCGGATGGATACTCACTGTTAACTTTTGGATGATAAACAGACATATACGCATATGTGTTACCAATAAGATAAAACAAATTGTAATTTGCATGTGTTGCCTTCAGAATCAGGATGCCAATATGACCCATTTCAGTTTAAATATTTCTGTAAAATTTAAGTAGAAAACAAACATATTTTGAAAATAAAACTAGTCATTTGTTTTCATAACAATGACTTCCTTAAACATTTGTCATTGTTTTCAAGGAACAAGGGGTATTAAGTCGACGCAGTCATAATGGTATACATGATAATGTAGACATTGACTAACTGAATAATGTTTGTTTTATCTTCTTGGTTACACATGTGCGTATATGTCTGTCTATCATCCAAAACTGACTCCCAAGGGAGATATCGCTTTCTCCAATTCAATTCACAAGTCTGCTGCTGAAAATGCTGGAATGAGATAATTTGTCCTACCTGTTTGGCTCCTCATTATGTGTGCTACTGAAAAATTGGCATTTAACTACATTGTCATTAATAGTCCGTCAACCATCATTTTGGTATTTTTTTACAATCGTTTTCCATAAAACACACATTCACGTGACGACAGTTTGTTATTTACGCGCCCCACATGGTGTATTCTCCCTGCATTGTTTTATTGTACGAAAACCAACTCCAACTGGTCGTTTATTTCTTATATGTGATGTCAACATTAAGATATCTCTAAGGATTTTGATAAAATGTACAAGCTTTAATAATATTAACCCCATTTAAATAATGAATACTCCCGCAATGGAATCCGAAGTCCATTTTATGCACAGGTGGTTATTTCCTGAATTTTCTCACATTCATCACCTCGATTACCTGTTCTCCCAATAACAATTGTCATATCTCTCCCGGTTTTGGATGCGATCGTCTGGCCATCGCGTTTATCTTCGTTGCCCTGCTACATCTATGGGGATCAACTCACAAGACACTCCACTCTCAAAAACAACGTCGTTAAAATTACGATTGATCAAGTTGCCAGCGCATTTTCAAATCTCCAGAAAGACGTCATGATAGAGCAATGTTTTATCGTTAAATAAACCACGCTTCGTTCTTCATTGTTCTTTGCGATTTATCGCGGAGCTATCTTATTTTATCAAAAATTATCATTGACCTAACTAGGAATATGTACCCTTTGGGGCGCTCTTCGCGCCGAAGACCCGGGTTCGATTCCCCACATGGGTACAATGTGTGAAGCCCATTTTCTGGTGTCCCCCGCCGTGATATTGCTGGAATAGTGCTAAAAGCGGCGTAAAACCTCACTCACCCACTCACTCACTCACTCACTCACTCACTCACTCACTCGCCATTTTGTACTCCGATGATGAGGGATTGTCTCAAAGACAGGTAAATAAATAAAATGAGTTTTAAAATGAAATATGATTTAAACTACCTGATAGGTGTTGGTATTTTTAGTTAGGTAAATGATTATTATTCGACAATAACCAAACTTTGTCACGTGATAGTGAGTTTTTTGGGAAATAATTGTGAAAAACCGGGTGCCAAAATGATGGTTGACTGTCTTTAGCAACATCCTGCTGTGTCATCATCACAAGTACAAGAAGCAGCTGTAAAATACTTCCTGGCGAGAACAATCAGACTCCTCAGCACGTATATTGCAGCATGGTGTTGGCCGAGATGTTCTTTTGGGCTGGGTGGGTGTGGGGTTGCCATGCAGCCACTTTACCTGGATAGGTTTTCTGCTTATGGAGTTACAAACGTAGGAACCGATGAGCACACTTTGCGAATTTCTACGCGGATTTACGCAAGGTGGGCACATTAGTGTTTAGTTAATAACAACATGTATGTAGGTGCAAACACCTTATTCTTATATATAAATAAGTCAACAATAATAACTTCACATATATACTGTTTATTTAATGAGTAACACAGAAAAGCTGTAGACAATGATACGAAGTCAGTGACATTGTCCAGTGCAATAATGAAACACAAGCACCGCCCACTCTATGATTAGCCAATCAGGAAATAGTAGTCCGTTGGTAGGCGCGGCCTATATATTCAGTTTAATGAAAGTTTAACGCTTAAAAGTTAGCTTGATTAGCTATTCAAATGCCACGGGAAAAACATACAATAAACCAACAAATTAAATAGCTTGAACTATATAGACGTCAGATCTTACAACGACGCTCATACAATGTTTGGCTATCACTCTACGAATGAACTCCCACAAAGTGAAAGTCAGTTCATATACTTTTTTATATCACTATTCTATACTTCGAAAAATCGAGGTCTATACACAATTCTATTTAGTACGCGTGACGTCTTGTTTATACTGACAACCATACACCAACCAACTATATCGCGAAATGAAGTAATTCCCCAAATGGAGAGGAGTGACATGAGCGTATGTATGCTCACGGTGACATCTTTTGCAGTTTGATCACAGTAAATATAATCAAATAAGAGCATTATTAGATGAGAAAGCTCAGTTAAGAACTGACCTTAGTAAGTTTGTCACCTTGAGAGCGCATCTTTACACATTTGCAGAAGTTGTTAATGAACCTGTGGCGATTATAAGCGTTAATCATCATTAGTCAAATGGCCTATCATTAAAAGTGATTGTGAAGATTTGTAAATGTATACTAAGTTAAAATCATAGATTGATGTAGGCTGTCAGTATGAGTCTAGGCTCTAGGCAAGATACATTGCGTAGATCACATGACAAAGCATCGCCTCTTCGTTTTCTTTCTGGGCGGTCGGGTAGCCTAGTGGTTAAAGCGTTCGCTCGCCACGCCGAAGGCCCGGGTTCGATTCCCGACATGGGTACAATGTGTGAAGCCCATTTCTGGTGTCCCCCGCCGTGATATTGCTGGAATATTGCTAAAAGCGGCGTAAAACCATACTCACTCACTCACTCGTTTTCTTTCTCTTTCTAGTGAAACGCAAATTTTGTAAATTATGGTCAGAATTGCTCACTGTTGATACACTCCGGTCATGTACATAATTCTCCTGATCTAAAAAAGAAGGACGATTTCTCATATCATAATTATCCTGACTGGGGTCCCCTCTCACAATGAGGAGATGCAGCATCCGTTCTATATGGTCGCCCAATCTTGCACTGGTTTCAATAAAGAAGCATGTCTTCCAGGAGAGAAGGAACTGATACCCTTCCTCGTACGTCACCGATCTTTCAGAACTCATGTCTGTTTTATTTCCAACCAGTATAATTGGAGCTCTTTCATTGTCTGAAAATGAAACGGAACAACTAATGATTCATGCCCTTTGGTTTCCTGAACTGAAAAGTTAGAAATAGTCCGCGACGCTGTAAGTCACTTGGATCTGCAGTTTAAAATGTCACTAAAAACAACCACTTTTATCAACGAGTGTTGATATATTTGGTATCAAAAGACACGAGGGTGAGATTTTATTTATCATCCAACATCATTCTTCCAGCTTTTACAGTTTGTAGGGGGTAATAAGCAGTGTCTTAGTGTAAAAGGTACTGCTAACAACTTCAGCAGCAGGGCCATTATTGATGTCATTTGATTGTGACGTCATGGTAACAATGTAGTTTAAAATGTCACCAAAAACAGCCACTTGACGAAATTTTATGTCAGCTTTGATATTCAAATATATTCTCGTAAATATATCTTGATATATAACCTTTGAGAAATAACAAAATCACACTATGATCATTTTGATTTAAACAAAATATGATGAAATATACATGCCTAAGAATGTGTGACAATGTATGAGCATGTGTTGAGTCTCAGTAGCAACTAAACATATCATATATTTAAATGGGAGTCGCACCTCTTAAATAAATTGCGGTGTCTCAAGTCTCCAAATATATCTTGCTGTTAATGAACTTATCCAGCCAACGTGACACAATGTAACAGAAATAGCAATCATAAGGAAGTCAGTTGCCACTTCTTCTATTTACGGGAACGTCTGTAAGTGACGTTTATAAGCTTTGTGAAATCCACGAGTACGAATTTGATGCTGGCAAATCCAGGATCATAAATGAATGATAAAATTCCAAACCACGATAAACAGATCCTGGTACAACTGGGGACGCAACTCTGCTTAACATCTAACGGATATTTCCCTGGTGAGGATGGTGAATCGCGTGACCATAAGATGCCCCACAAGTATATACAACAATTGCATATACATTTACTCCTGACCTAAAGGCGAACTGCTGCCTTTACACTTTGGTGCAGTGTCTGACCAGGTGATATGTGCTCTGTCTTGTATTAAACTGACAGTTTGCCTAAGCGCATTAATAAGTGAAGTGGATACTCCCTGTTAACTAACTATCCTGCCTCAACGTGTCTGAAAAGCCTAGATATAGGTCAGTCATAATGTCTCGGTAAAGTTATATGAAATCAGTTGTTTCGAATCGTCTGATCCATCAGAATAACCCGTTAAGTAGTCAGCAATAAATGACATCCTTTTGTGTTTGCAATCCCCACAGTTCTCCATTTTGTTTTTTCATGTTAGAGTTTGTGTCTGTTTTAAGAGAAAGATGTAGGTCGCGGAAATAAACTAATAACAAGATATCTCAAAAGCTGAGTCAATTGTACGATTTCGACTCTATCATAGAAAGCATAGAACGGACATATATTTTGACTCACCTTTTACTGCCTTGATTTTCTGGCACATTCTGACCGCATATTGGAAGGATTCCCGACTGTCTACTGCATACACCACGACGAAGACCTCTCCTTGGCGAATTCTCAGGTCTCTCATCACTGGAAATTCATCGGTCCCAGACTTATCAACTATGTCTAACACCTGAATCTTTCCATCTGGAAAACAGTTCATTCATTGCACATTACTTTAAAGATAATCACAAAACATGATACGCACACGTAGTTCTTAAAAGTTTATTGAATTTATCCGTGTACAACTACATTAGATAAAAGAATAATTTTGCGTATTGTGACTTGTATATTGTCACTGGAAACACATTGGTCCCAGCCGTATCGACAATGTCTAACACTAGACTCTCTCCATCTGAACATAACGTTTTGCATTTGTTATTGTTGTTTCATTGACATAATTTGTAGGTGAATTATGTGAACCATAATAAAAGTGCAAAATACTTTTCATCAGGGTAACAACATTCACGGCCTCGGTAAAGCCCTCAAAATGTTTGATGGAAGACATGTGGATATTTCAAAATTTGGCACATCGGTGACATAAATATTGTCCCGTGCAATTCCCCATTTTGAAGTATATCATATGTTCCCATTTTTTTTCAAGTGAACTATTGACTTGCCTTTGCATGTGTTTGTGACGGTTGCCACCGGTGGGTCAGGGTACACTCACTAACCTTTCCGCGAACACATTGTTTCATCACTATTTGATAGTGGTTCATAAAGACATGCTTATGATATAGTCGGAATCGTACAATGGACCTACCTTTTAATAGAGAATTCTTATTATTGTGGAATTACTTTTGTCGCTTTTATTTACATTTTCAAAGCGGAGCGTTTGTTTCAACACCAGATTTATTTCGTGCGATTGATTCTTGATCATTTGAATCAGTGACAAAGACAATTTTCATTTGATTCTAAAATGCGAGAGGAATATATGTGTCGCTACCGGGTTTGAAAGGAACGTTATGTCATCGTCATATGCGAAAATACTATCCAATATATGATGTAGAATATGTGTAGGGTTGTACGGAAAGTAATTTAAATAGATGCATATTAATAATGACAACCATGATATGAAAGTGAAACTCACCGATATTTCAATCTCCATGTTGAACATATGTTGTTGAGATTTATTGAAACTAAGATCGTTTGAAAATACAGACCCAAACTCATTAAAATCACTTCTTAGTTCTCACTACCGCTAAACAAAAATCTGAGGACATCCCATTACGGGTCACGTCAGACAGACCTTTCGCGAACTTTAACCGACCAATGGATTGACTGACAAGAAGTCGACATTAGCTAATCAGAAGGCCGCTTTATCATGCGTTGCGGCACTAGTTTCAAACTGGCGACTACACTTCGAAATATAAAGTGACAAATTCTCGATTGAAAATTTGAAAACTGCAAAGGAACATTTTGGAATAGGTTATAGATGGACTAGATTGAATGAATTCCGTCCTATCGACCGTAACTGTCGTTGGAATACCCCTACGAGGTTGCATGATTAGAAAACAAATTCCGAGTGTCACTTTCCTTATCTGGTAAACGACGCTCTGATTGTTCGGATGAAAGGTCGTTCTGACGTGACCTGTAATGGGATGTCTTCAGATCTTTGTTTGGCGGTAGCGATACATAAGATCTGCTTTTAATGAGATTGACACAGATTGCAAACGTTGGCCCAATATGTGAAGGTTATCCATAACTTTACTATTTAACCTTCCTTGTAGGCCACCAATAGTCGCTATGTTACCTTCTCCTGTTTAATATAAACCGCACTGCCAAATATAAAAAATAAACAAATTAAAATCACGCTCGAAGAAAATGCATAGATAAGTTTAAAGTTGAATTCGTACCTGGTAGCTTTGCACAAAAGTTAAAGTGATCTTCTATCGTAGCCTTGTATTTCTGATTGCAGATTCCATACAACATGTTTAGTATGATGGTCGTCTTGCCAGCTCGAGCAGCGCCAATAAATACCACTTTCATCGTTAAGCTTCAGGTCGTTGTGACATAATTCGTGTTTGATGACATATTTATAATGAACAATGTTATTCCGGGACTTTTTTCGAGCGGACATTCACACAGTCAATAATAAGAGTAACGCGATTGGCTCTTTTGATCGTGAATAACATCCTAGTTGTTGTATAAGCGAAAACACGGTGTGAACACATGGCGGAAACAAACGTACTTGTAACTCACACACTGTCTTACATATATGAATAACATCCTTGCTTCTATTTAGAGCCTATGATCATTTCTGTACATCATCCTGTCCATTTATCTGTCCGTCCATTCAGTTCGCAAAGTAAATGCTTCTTTAACAAAACTTCTGAACATTTCAGCATCACCTTTGCGGAACATTCTTGATGTCTCTGGCTATATTAAGATAGAGTTTTTCAGTTTTATATATTGAAAATGGCCGGCATTGCAACAAAGTGTTGCTGGTCAAGCAGACTTGGTGCCATAGTTTTCTTCGTGGACAATATCATAGTTTTAATGTTTGTGTTATCTTTCTCTATAAGATACATGAGGATGTTTGTGATATCTTTCTCTATAACCTTATTCCGGTAACAAGAAGTTAAGGTAAAGGTGAATTTGAAAATATCATTCAAAATGGCGTACATTTTAGTGTCATTAGCAAAGAATCAGCATCATGGAACAAACATAACCGATCTTCCTCTTCATATGTGATACTCAAGTAACACTGAAACAACGCAACAATGGCAGTGAGCACTGAAACAACGCAACAATGGCAGTGAGCACTAAAGCAAAGAAATAATAGTAGTGAGCACTAAAACAACGCAACAATAGCAGTGAACACTGAAACAACGAAATTATAGTAGTGAACACTGAAACAACAAAACAATGGCAGTGAGCACTAAAACAAAGAAATAATAGTAGTGAGCACTAAAACAACGCAACAATAGTAGTGAACACTGAAAACAAAGAAATAATAGTAGTGAGCACTAAAACAACGCTACAATAGTAGTGAACACTGAAACAACGCAACAATGGCAGTGAGCACTAAAACAAAGAAATAATAGTAGTGAGCACTAAAACAACGCAACAATAGTAGTGAACACTGAAACAACGCAACAATAGTAGTGAACACTGAAAAAAAAGAAATAATAGTAGTGAGCACTAAAACAACGCAACAATAGTAGTGAACACTGAAACAACGCAACAATAGTAGTGAACACTGAAACAACGCAACAATAGCAGTGAACACTGAAACAACGCAACAATAGCAGTGAACACTGAAACAACGCAACAATGGCAGAGAGCACTAAAACAAAGAAATAATAGTAGTGAACACTGAAACAACGCAACAATAGCAGTGAACACTGAAACAACGCAACAATGGCAGTGAGCACTAAAACAAAGAAATAATAGTAGTGAGCACTAAAACAACGCAACAATAGTAGTGAACACTGAAAACAAAGAAATAATAGTAGTGAGCACTAAAACAACGCAACAATGGTAGTGAACACTGAAACAACGCAACAATAGTAGTGAACACTGAAAACAAAGAAATAATAGTAGTGAGCACTAAAACAACGCAACAATAGTAGTGAACACTGAAACAACGCAACAATAGTAGTGAACACTGAAACTACGCAACAATAGCAGTGAACACTGAAACAACGAAACAATAGCAGTGAACACTGAAACAACGCAACAATGGCAGTGAGCACTAAAACAAAGAAATAATAGTAGTGAGCACTAAAACAAAGAAACAATAGCAGTGAACACTGAAACAACGAAAGAATAGCAGTGAACAATGAAACAATAAAAGAATAGCAGTGAACACTGAAACAAGGAAACAATAGTATTGAGCACTAAAACAACGAAACAATAGCAGTGAACACTGAAACAACGAAAGAATAGCAGCGAACACTGAAACAATAAAATAATAGCAGTGAACACTGAAACAACGAAACTATAGTAGTGAACACTGAAACAACGAAACAATAGCAGTGAACACTGAAACAACGAAAGAATAGCAGTGAACACTGAAACAATAAAAGAATAGCAGTGAACACTGAAACAATGAAACAATAGTTGAACACTGAAACAACCAAACAAAAGTAGTGAACACTAAAACAACGAAACAGTAGCAGCGAACACTGAAACAATAAAAGAATAGCAGTGAACACTGAAACAAGGAAACAATAGTAGTGAACACTGAAACAACGAAATTATAGCAGTGAACACTGAAACAACCAAAGAAAAGCAGTGAACACTGAAACAACGAAACAATAGTAGTGAACACTAAAACAACGAAACAACAGTAGCGAACACTGAAACAATTAAAAAATACCAGTTAACACTGAAACAACGAAACAACAATAGTGAACACTGAAACAACCAAACAATAGTAGTGAACACTGAAACTACAACCAATAGTTTGACAACGAAAGCATAGTAGTGAACATTGAAACAACGAAACAATAGTACGTAGTGAAGACTGAAACAACGAAAGAAAAGAAGTGAACACTAAAACAACGAAACAATAGCAGTGAATACTGAAACAACGAAACAGCAGTGAATACTGAAACAACGAAACAATGGTAGTGAACTCTTAAACAACGAAACAATAGTTGTGAACTCTGAAACAAGAAAACAATATTAGTGAACACTGATACTACAAACAATAGTAGTGCACAATGAAACAACGAAACAATAGCAGTGAACAGTGAAACAACGAAACAACAGCAGTGCACACTGAAACAACGAAACAATAGTAGTGAACAGTGAAACAACGAAACAATAGCAGTGAACAGTGAAAGAACGAAACAATAGCAGTGCACAATGAAACAAGGAAACAATAGTAGTGAACAATGAAACAACGAAACAATGGTAGGGAATACTGAAACAAGGAAACAATAGTAGCGAACATTGAAACAACGAAACAATAGCAGTGAACAGTGAAAGAACGAAACAATAGCAGTGCACAATGAAACAACGAAACAATAGTAGTGAACAATGAAACAACGAAACAATGGTAGGGAATACTGAAACAAGGAAACAATAGTAGCGAACATTGAAACAACGAAACAATAGCAGTGCACAATGGAACAACGAAACAATAGCAGTGAACAATGGAACAACGAAACAATAGCAGTGCACAATGGAACAACGAAACAATAGCAGTGAACAATGGAACAACGAAACAATAGCAGTAAACAATGAAACAACGAAAGAATAGCAGTGAACAATGAAACACGGAAACAATAGCAGTGAACACTGAAACAACGAAAAAATCGTAATGAACGCCTATGTACAGGCTCACACACAGAGTATATCACACCATATTCCCCTCGAGATCGGTTGACAACTTACTGCAGCATGTAATATCCCCAGTACATCTTACATCACGTCCAACAATATCAATGACAATGCTGTTCGGCACAGTCAACAACTTGCCAAAATACTTCTGGTTCCATGGTACCATTGAGAACATACGACCATGCTGATGTACAACAAAACAATGTCCTTGTCACCCCATTATTGATTAATGTTTATAACTGCCCAGGAAATAAACAACCCATCGTTGTTTTACTATTTGAAGATTATTGCACTTACATAGCGACGTGCATGCAAGAGTGGCTGTGTGTTTTCTCTGTGTGTGCGTACTTGCGTGTGCGTCTGCGTGCATGCGTGTGTGTTTGTGTGCGCGTGCGTGTGTGTTTGTGTGCGCTTGTCCTAGTCCTGACTAATGTCGGTTTTGTTTTACCAGCCAACTGAGATACCATGCCGCAGTTTAACATGAATACCCCACACAGACACAGTGTACTGACTCCGAGCCGACCAGTCCTTGTTTGAGCCTCTTAGTGACAAGCGCCAGGCAGGGTAACAACAAGTACCATCTTTTAACGTATTTTGTTATGAGGCAGCCGGGGATCAAACCACCGACCTTCCGCTCTCCGGGCAGACACTCTTTATAATAGACAATTTCACACAGACGAGAACCAGAGAATAAAACAAGTCGATGAAGCTTGGAATGTATGTGCAACATAACCATGATGCATACCCTCTGCCCAGATTAGAAAGCCACAGGCAATATTCTTTGGTCCAACTGGGTAACTATCACACAGAAGATGTGTCTGTCGTTGCTGCTTAAGTTGTGATAAGAAGTTTAAGATCAAGACGCTGAAATGAATCATTAATGCGTCTCTAATTGGTACGACGAAGCCTGCGGTCATCGATACTCTTGATACTGGCATTGGACATTGGTGTATTACTTAGCTTGGTGAAACCAATGAGATATGGGTTATTGTCAGATAGTCAATCAGTTCATTGATTATGAGACCAAAAGCTTACTTCACCTGATTTGTGAAACCGTAAATGCTACACATTCTGCAACTCCGTACCACTCATATGCTAGTAAAGTGTTTCACAGTATGTTAATGGAGGATGGAAAAATCACTTACTGTTTCCAGTAATAATTGTATGTATTTCTTAGAAATATAAACAGATAACTGAATTCGGAAATAAGTTGTAAATGCTAAATGGTAAAACGATTCCAAGTCAATACATGCTATATGAGGTTTGACTGTCCAGGAACATCAACAAGGCTTATAGCTATAGATGTCACAGATGCATCCTAAGTACATCTGCATTCGCAGTTCGTTTTTAATGATAGTACAGCATCATAGACAAAGGTTCAAACACTGACATGAAGCAATCAATCCAAATGTGTAATTGAAGTAAGAGAAGAGCAGAATCAATCAGGCTATGAAAGGGGAAGTAGCAAGTGTAGGTGGCCTGGCTACTACCACAGCTAGCATGGACTATATATATAGCACACAGTAGGCGGCGTGAGCAGGCTGTGTTGTTGGTTGTCTTACATGAGTCAGAGGCTGCTCCATGCACACATGTATGCTGCTGTTTGCGAAGGGAACATTTAATTTGAAACATGAATATGTCTCCACTGACTTATTATTTTGTTTATTAGTTTTTTACAGCACTTTAAAGCAACGAAT